ACCAAACAGATCTTTGACAGACAGCTCCCCTCAGTCAGCTTACGGTAGAACCAGGGTCACTCTGTCTAACTTCAGGCCCTCAAGTTGCCTGCCTGAGGCCTGCATGGCAGCATTTGCTAGGTGAGGCAAGTCTGCCTCCAGCCTGACCTGGTGCAATCCTCCCCAGGGAAAGACTCTAAACCCATGTGCTCACAGAACATAAATACCTCTCCCAGCATGCAGTGGGACTACATTCCCCTGCAGTTGGCCAGGGCTGTATCCATATTCATGCTGTTCATTTGCCTAGCCCTGCTTATGTTCTGGAAGGCTCCCATAGCTTCCTAAGGCAGGTAGAACTCAAGACAAACTTAAACAACACCAGAGCATCATGAGCAGACCTAACTAATCAATTACAGCACTCTGTTAAGCAGAATACCACACTGAATTTACCTGACAGCCTTTCTGGTAGGCATATAAACACAGCTATGCTTAACCTAAGTACACAAATCCTTGCACCTGACTGGGAGGGTGCTACATATGGATCTACAGAATGGATCAAGCAGAAGCAGTGGATCCATGCACTGCAGGTCTTCAGGTTATGTTTCCTCTCCAGCAACGAGAACAATGGCATCACTAAACCTCACTGCAGTCAGACTAGCTGTCAGAGGCTGCAGTGCCCTAGATGACCCCGAACTACAGCTGTTAAGCCATCTAAATGCTTTCACAAGGTATGGAACCTGTTTGTGCAACACTTAGTAGATATCACTGTGCATGCTGGAGTGAAAATAATAATTCTAGGGCCCTTATTTATGGCTAACTTGAAACTGATAAACTGAAGATTTTTAAAGGGCCATCCTTGGACAATTTTGGACAGAATAGTTTTTTGCTGTCTCAAATGCACACGCAATTTTGAAGCTTGAGATATTTGGCGTCTATTTTGCTCAACAAAATCTCATCTTTTATATTTTACAAAAATGGATATTAATTGTTTGCCCTTACATTATTTGATTGATTGGGTAAACATTTGTGCACATCTTCTAGATTGTAAGCTCGAAAGAGCAGGGCCCTCGATCCCCTCATTATTATTATTATATTATTATACAGTATTTATAAAGCGCCAATAGTTCGCTCAGCGCTGTATATTACAAAGGGAGACAGAACATGTGACAGAACAATACCAATACAATGCAAAACATGAGGGGATCAAGGGCCCTGCTCTTTCGAGCTTACAATCTCATGTTTTGCATTGTATTGTTATTGTACTGTCTCATGTATTGTCCCCCTTTGTAATGTACAGCGCTGAGCGAACCATTGGCGCTTTATAAATACTGTATAATAATAATAATATCATGTGACATGCAACTACTATTATTTCATTCTACAGGTCCTCTGCTTTCAGAAAATATATCATGTTTTGCCATTTTAAATAATTTCGTAGACAAAAATAAACATATTAACTTCTGTGTGAAAAATTAAGACATTGGTTAGGCAGAGAAAGTTTTAAACACCAGATCTTTAAATGCAATCTCATGACCATTGTTGAACCCATGGATAGTACAGTTTCAATCTAATGGACCTCACTAGCACAATGTTGTGGTATTACATTAGTCTTTTCTAGTTTTGGAGTATTTGCATCAAAATGAACGATGAGAAAAGACTAGTTTTCCTTTAAGTTACATGTTCCTTTAATTTGTATTGCCTTTCTAAAGGCGTATTTGTGTATGTGTTCATGTTTTGGAAAACCCAAAGCATATATTGTCATATCAGTAAATTGTGTATGTAGGAAAGTAAAAGCTAGCCATAGACAGTTTCTATACAATTTCTCTTAGGCTCTATGTACACTAGCGGTTTTTATAGGCTCAAAATACGCTGGAAAACACATTGGATGAAAATGCTGATAATAATCAATTAGGAGTGTTTGCTTTTTATTCGTGTTTTTACAGTACATGATGATAAAACACTCCAAAAAAGCTGTTAGGAACATTTCAGTAGCATTTAGGAGTGTTTAGCGTTTTTTTTTTCTGCCAGGAAAACGCTCCCAAAAACTCAGCAAAAACAGCTCATAAACGCTGAAGCTTGAAAAACACTCATAATATCTTCTGAGAACTTAAACACTGGAGTGTGCATGGAGCCTACAAATTACCAGCAACTGCTATGTGTAATGTGAATGCCTACTTAAACAATCTGTTCAACTTCTATCTATTTATCTAGGCCATCACACTGCATAGTTGGTGCAAAGCTGAACTCCAGGCAGATAATTAAAACGCCAATAAATGCAATATTAATTATATTAAATAACCATTTAATGCTGTTTTAAATGCAACTAATACCTGAATGTATGAATGTAGTTCACCTATAGGGAAAAATATAGGAGGCAAATATTTTTTGCAGGAACAAAATGTGCATATATTTTTTTCTCCCACCGGAGCTTGCAAAGCATTGCACCTGTGATCAATGGATTGTGGGTGCAAGGACAAGCTCCTGCAGGCAGCTTTCTAGCCGTACCTTTCAGGCTTGCTATTGGACAGCTGGAGAACTTATGAATTCACTACCATTGGGAACTACAAGCCTGCTGCAATTTCAAATGTGACAGCGGCTGCAGGGGAGAGGAACCCTCGCCTGCTGTCTCAGGAGTGAGAATATGTGCTGGAACCTGTTACATTGTACACTCTAAATTATGGTTGTAAAATGTTCCAAAGGGTGAATGTATCCACTTGTGTTAACCTAGCCACCATAGCCATATTTGCTCTCACTTGAAGTACATGTCAGACGACTCTGAGATTTCCAGTAAGGGTAATAAGTTGCAATGGAAGATGGAAATACATCTTTTGGTCTAATGATTGTCATTGGCTTTTATTGTTTTAAATTATTCAGAGCAGCGTTTTGCAACCTTTTTTAAGTCACCTCACCCTTTAAAAGTTTGTAAAATTTTGAGGCACCCTAGTCTAAAATGTACAAAAATGTTATTTCTTAACCAAAAAAAGAAACATGAGAGCCCCCATCACATCTGGGTCACCCCTATATATATCAAAGGCCCCCTATTCATAAATCTCCCCCTCCCCACAGAGTCCTCCTATCACAGGGCCTCCCAGTTATCCCCTTCACATCAGAGCCCTACTTTGTAGTTCCAGCAGCATGGCATAGGGCAGGAAGTGAAGGAGATCTGAAGGAGGCAGATTTCTGTCTTCTCCAGAATGTTGGGGGCAGCCCTGCCTGCTGTCTGCTCTTCATCAGAGTCATGTAGTGCCATGATGTGGGCAAGTCAGCTGCCATCACACAACAATGAATGACAGTGTGTGCCCTGGCCCTAGGCGTCATTGTTTGCTATGGTGCTGGGTGCTGGCTCACACACGCCGTGGCAAATCATGATGCTGATCGATGGCAAACAGGGTCCTGTGCTCGCGGCATCCCCGGGAACCCAAATGGCACTGCAGAGTTGAGATACACTGGTTCAAAGCACAGTATGCATCCCTCTAAAACCTGCTGACAGCAGTGATGATATAGTGTCTCATTTAAAAGGTGGAGGGTGATGTTTCAAATTCTACACTGATGTAGATTTGACTCTTGGTGTGCCTAATCAAGGGCTTGACAAATTTGTTTTGAATATAGGAGTCAGCTAAAAAAGTTGTGAGCCATTTATTTTAGTGTAGCATGGGTTGTCAGCGCCAGCGGCAAGGAAACTTTTGGGCGACAAGCTACATGCGATGTGATTTGCCACGCAATCATCACGGCAAAACAGAACCACATTTTAGGTACCATTGAAATTAATTTGATTCTGCCATGATCCAAAAAAATGCCCAGGTGTGAATGGAGCCGCCCTGGTTCACACATATGCGGTTCTGGGTGCATTTTCAAACTCTCAGACTCCAATGACAGGCTAGATATTATGTGTTCCTTTTTGAAGTTATTCACACAGATACGATCCACGCATTGCGTTTTGCGTGCCATTACGAAAAGGGTCCTGTGAGCGTTTGTAGCGGTGCATTCTAGACTTGCAAGTGATAGAGTAGAGTGGCATGTGGAGTTAAGTGTTCACATATGATTGCTATTTACAAGAGTTTTTGCATTGAAGTCAATGGGAGGTGATTTTGCATTGAATCAATTGGAGGCGATTTTGCATTGAAGTCAATCTGACATTATTTTTCATTGGAGTCAGTGGGACACGATTTTTCATTGGAGTCAGTGGGACACGATTTTTCATTGTAGTCAATGTGACACGATTTTTCATTGGAGTCAGTGGGACGCAACGATTTTTCATTGCAGTCAATGGGACGCGATTTTTACTGGAGTCAATGAAATTCAGTTGTGGAGAGAGCCTGCAAAATCGGATCTGTATTGAAATTGCACATAAATTGGAATTACTTTGCAATTTCAGTACACGTGTGTGAACCCAGGCGCCAGGACGCAGTTTCTAGTAGCCATGGTGACCTGGCACCTGGGATTTGTCGAGTCCTGATCTGGTCTATCAGCAGACTTTTCCACGGTATAACCTCCTTTCTGCGGTCATTTACAAAGTAAAAGAACCGTTTGATGCAAGGGAACTATTGTACAAATCCAGAACACAGAGATGACATGATGCACAATTGCTGCTTACCCTCATGTGATATACAAATGAATATATTTTACAGGGTTGCACTATCTAAGAGAACGTTTAATTGGTAAACATTATAGTACAAAAGAATGTATTCTGAATGTAATAAAATCTATTATTTTACTGGACTTGAGCAGTTAACTAAAGCTACTTAGAATTTCCAGACATAGTAGACTTTCTGTATACATACCAAATGCCAAAAATTGGAAAGAATTCCCACATTACACACGTTGTAAAAGTGAAAGTATGAACAGTGCAGATGTCTGGTATATGTCACCAATATTTATCAGCCAGGATAGTCCTACATCATCACTGACATATGTTTACTCCATACGGTCTTTTGCAACACTTTGGTGAGTGGGTGTTTTTTATAATAATAAAAAAACTAACAGACTTTTTTTCTGTATTCTAGAAACAAGACACGGGCCAAGCATTGCTGGACATGGTTTTCAATCACTTAAGCGTAAAAGAGAGGGAATATTTTGGCCTACAGCACAATGAAGATTCTTTAGACTCACAAGTGAGTGTGTCCAAATAAAAAAGTTTCTTTTGTTTCTTTTGTGTATTTTTGTATGTGATCAACTGCGAGAACCCCAGTGGGGGTTCCCGTGATTAGAAGTGAGTAATCGCCCCCACTGAAAGCAATGGGAGGCTGCTGGCTCTCACAGCTAATTACACCCACTCGCAAGCAATGATCACATTTGAGTAGGCGCGATTAGCAGTGAGAGCCGGCAACCTCCCATTGCTCTTTGTTTTCAGTGGGGCTGCCTGCTTACGGATAACTGCAGGAACCACTGCTGGGGTTCTCACAGCTGATTGCATACAAGGTGCATTTCCAAGCGTGAATGCATCCTTTTTGTGAATGTATAACCATTTTATTTAGTTTTGAATAGAGTAGGAAAGGGTTAAAATAATATTTTTAGCTGTCTGCATCCTATTGGGAAAGTTTCCTTTCATTTCTTTTCATGGATTTGCAATAGGAAATAAGTAGAAATCTCTACAGAGTAAAGGGGATTCCCTTCAATTTTGACTCTGAAAGTTGACCCTGGAACAGATATCCCTACCTCATACTTTCCTTTTCTCGTAACATCTGTACAATTTTGGATTTCCTATCTCTTTCTGTCTTATTCACAGTGGTCACCAGGACAAATAGAGAAGGTGAATCTACCCAAATGGACACACACATAGCAATCAAAATCTGACAGGGCTTTTAAACTTTTCTATTCTATCTAAATTAAAAAAACAAAAAAAATCCTTGTCTTTGGGTCCACTTAAACCCATTGGGCTCTAGAACCATTTTCAGATAACAACTATAGGATGGTTATTATTACATTTTTATAAGTCATATAAAGTCAGGTAGCCAGATAAAAGAAGTACTCGCTATGTAAATTCACTTTTTCAACATATTTGAACAGGAACATTAGGCATTATCTACAAATATTTAGCACTCCTGCCTTGCAGCATTAGAGTTCTCAGTTTGATTCCCAACCAGGACACTACCTGCCTATCATTTTTATGTTCTCTCTGTACTTGCGTGGGTATCCTCCGGGTACTCCAATTACCTCCCACAGATCAAATACATGCTGCTAGGTTAATTGGCTCCTGTCTGAATTGGCCCTAGAATGGATATGTTTGCATGTGAAGTAGGTTGTAAGCTCTTTGTGGGCAGGGACTGATGTGCATGTACAATATGTAATGCACTATTTAAATTGTTGGTGCTATATACATATCTGTAGTAATAGCGGAAATATTAATAGTAACAAATTGCACATAAAGTTGACATGTAATGATTCTCATAAACTAAATTACCAAAAATGCAGCTTTATCTCTTGCAAAAAGTAAGTATACCCTTACATTTCCTACTATTTTGAATCCATGAAATTAAAATCAGATATTCCAAAGTAAGTGTCAATGATTAGAACTTCTTTAGGAAGTATGCAGGTATAACTTTTCTTATTTAAACCTCAGATATCTAAGGTCTGGTGTTCACTTTGCTATTGATGTACGTAGTATCATTAAGGGCCCTTTCACTTGGGCAGACCAATCAGGTCCTCCTGTCTGTTTTTCAGGCGGACTGGTTCCGACCATCCATTGCCCTCTATTGAGCAGTGGATGTAACCAGACGTGTCCATTTATACCCGCATGCATCTGATCCAATCCAATCCGCTAAAAACGGATCCATCCCCATACCCCATCCATCTAGCGGTTTGGATGACAGTTGGATGTAATTGAACAGGCCATCCAATTACATATGACCACCCATAGAGGACTGCAGACTGTGTCCGCTCTGCATATGTGGAGCAGACATGCACCTGTCATCCGCCTGATCAGCAGGGATCAGAGGACAGATCCCCCACTGAGCAGGCAGATCTGCTGGTGGAGTCCATCCATGTGAAAGAGGCCTTAAAGATCAAAAGGTCCCCAGAAAGAAGGTTGCAAATGCCTGTGACTCTAGCAATGTATTTCAAAAGATATCCAAATGCTTTGAAATCAATCATTCCAAATTAAGGAAAATAATCTACAAATGGTGTACCTTTTTGAATGGCTGCCAATTTGACCAGGGCTGGGTCAGCAAATTCAGCCCAAGAGCTTGATGCTTAGATACTCGATGAAATTTCCAAGTACCCCAAAATTTAATTGCCAGATCTGTAGGTAACTTGCAACAGCTGTGTCAAAATGCATACACCCACAGTCAGAAAATGCCTTTGCTGCTCACAAAGTACACTAGAGCAAAACTACATTTTGAATTTGAACATACAGACAAAGACTAGGGTTTCTGAAACAATGTGTTGTGGACTGAGGAATCTAAGTTAAGAGTTGTTTGCCCACAGTAACAGTAGACACATTTGGTGCAAACCGAAGATAGCATTTCAGAAGAAGAATCTCTTACCAGCTGTGAAGCATTGTGATAGAAATATTATGGTTTGGGGTTGTTGGTGCTAATTTAGTGTCTGGGCAGCTTGTAGTCATCATGTCAGCTATGTATTCTGTATCTATCAAAGGGTGATTGATGAGAACGTGAGGCCATCTGTCCAAAGGTCGCTGCTGAACTGGAAAAGTATCTTTTAACAAAATAATCTGAAACATACAAGAAAATTCCCCAAGAAATGGTTCTAAAAGAAGACTTGAAGGGTTTTGGAATGACCTTATGAAAGTGCTCATTTTAATTGCATTGAAATGTTGTGTATTTGCCTTTTTTCCAAAGTGGGAAAAACTCACCAAAAAGATATGGCAGATTTGGCATTTTATTGGTTCCAGAATACAAGATAAAATGCCTAGCACAATCAGCTTGTGAATTTACATACAGCTTTGAAAGTGTCATTTTATTCATTAATTATTTTGTATCTTTGTCTAATATGTGCTCTGATAATTTGTGCATGCCTTATTTTAGAGATGGTTGGAACCCAACAAACCAGTTCGAAAACAGCTAAAAGGTACGTCTGACATAGCAAGCACAATAGCTGTTTAAAGTGTTACCTGTGTCCCATTATTTCCAATTTTGTAAGTTGTATTTTCAAAAAGCTAATCCATAATCCGTATTTTGGCACTAAAAAAAAAAAAAACAAAAAATCTTATCACTGCTAGTCTTTGATGCTGTCCCTGGCACCTTGGGACATTGACATGCAGAGCTCAGTAGGTGATACAGATTCTTTATCATATGCTGTTAAGTGCAATGTTTCTCAAGGGACCCATAGCTACACAGATATCTCCCTGAGAACAGATGGTGATAAAAACTGCCTGTCCTCACAAGAGCTGCCTGTCCTTACATCCATCATTCCAGCAACAGTTCAGGCTAACAATCTCAAGATCTGAACTCAGTTCTTAGATTCTTTCCTCTGCTGCATAGGAATTTATTTCAAGTTGGATAATATCCTGATGTGAACCTCTGATGACCATAGGTGTAATAATATAAATAATTTTAGTCTTTAGGGAGTAAAAATGAACCATCCGCATTCTACCCATTTTTCCTTATTGCATTCCTTTTCCCCTTTTTTCACACAATTGCATTAAAAATTATTTTTAACATTATTGAAACCTTATTACCTTTTGCTATTGATATTTCAATATAGGAGGATTTCCTTGCTCTCTACTCTTCAGAGTACGTTTTTTCATTCCAGACCCCAACACGCTACAGCAGGATCAAACTAGGTAATTCAATGTAATCTTGATATTTCTTATTTAATTATTAAATCCCTATTTACTTGACCTTCATTTCCTCAGAAAACACTACTTTGGGGTAATGATTAATGATGTGCATGGTTTAGATTAGTTTGTTTTATCTACAGCATGCTACAGGTAGAATACAAATCTTTTGCTTTTTTTTGTTGGATTACTGACCTGTGGAAATATGTCCAAGTTTTATAGTTTGTTTATGCTTTATATTGTGTAATGTTCTGAATCTTTGAATTTCCCTTCCTAATAATAACTTAATTGTGAATTTTGCTAAGGTTTCACCCAGGAGCTCTAAACATACTGTATATGCAGCTTTTACATTTTGTCACGGTACCCCGTTTTATTCCACGAATGTTACAAAATTTATAGAATTGTTAGAATGTCAGAATTTCTGGACCTCTGCTCAAATACAGTAAAGCTATGATTTTTTTTATGGGACCAGAGAGAATATTGGAGTGATGAACCCACTGATGATTGATACATTGGTTAAAATTCAAGTTCTAATAGGCGGCTCTAGGCAGGCAGGATATAGCCTAGAGGACCTTGTGTAATCACAATAATATATAAAAGAATTAATGTGCCACAGGTTTGTATCAAGTCCAGTAAAAGTTTATCTTGACAGCAGGACTTATCCCGGGTCTACACTGATGTGGTGCAGTACATCGCATGTGATTCGCATAGAAACCGCTCCACATTCCTGTGCAAATCATATGCGATTTTAGTGCAGTGCAATTTGAGCCATACATTTTGTATAGCTCAAATCACACCATACCCGCACCAAAATAGTGCAGGACCCTTTTTATGTCTGCACCAGAATCGGATCGCATGGGTATTTACACCCATGTGAACTGATTCTGCACATTGCACCACGTTTTGCGAACCAATTGTTGGATATTGTTAACTTAAAATACACACCCGCAGAGGTTCACATGAACAGGGTGCAATTATGATGCAGTGTGAATTCCACAATGCGACAGTGTGAACCTGGGCTGAAGGTATTTCCAACATGTTTCAGGGGCTCACAACTCCCTTTAATTAGGGCTTTGTGCTGGCAAGTGAGTCGTATGCAAGGAGGTTTGGAGAGATTGCAGGGAGCCAGTCAGACATGTGACGGTCCCAGCGTCAGACCCCCAACCCTTCTCACCAACTTGTGACCGAAGGACTAGCCAATCTAAAACCACGCTGTCACGTGCGTAACAATGCCACGCTCAGCTGCACCCCGCACAAAGATTTTCCAGCTCATTGGACCACAACCTATGTGCCGCAGCCTGAGCGCGATTGTTACTGGGTCAGATTAATTACGCAATTAACCCTTCACACTGCCACCACCTTCTTTTTGTACAGAGAAAGAGGAAACTCGCCAATCTTGGCAGTAACACCATGATGTTTGAATAAGCGTCTATATACACACTGTCACCGCAGGCAGAGGTATGCAGAAGTTTAAAACACACAGTAGCGCTCTTCAGAGACAGGGATTCTTAGTTTGCATTAAAGAGCTTTAGAAACCGTTCAACACTTTTCAGATAATGGGATTTATTACTAAAAAGGTCAAAATGGTGCAATAAAAATATTTACAGAAAAAGATGTAGCATATATATATATATATATATATATATATATATACATATACACACAGTGAGCAATACCACAACCGAGAGATAACAGAAGTTTAGAGAGGTAGAATACTTGCCGTCAGCCTTGGTTTAAGCAGATCACGGTCCTGAACAAAAAGGTCCCGTTCTCCCAAGTTGGTTCCTAATGTTAAAAATGGAGAATTCTTCAATTTACTTCTCCAGGCCTGACAGCCTATTTTGTAGTCCTCCAGCAGGGAGCGTCTACTGAAGCCAAGGGCCAATAGCCTCATTTGGGAGGGGGGGGGTTTAGGCGGAGACCCAGGCTAGAACCAAAATCCCTCACAAGTTATACCAGGGTCAATAACCTTCCCTAGGTACATGTAGCATCCTATCCACTAGCAGGATAATATGCAGAACGATATTCTGAATATCCAGATATCACATATGACACATCTGGCTGTGACGGCTCTCTGGTACACGTAATCTAGGGGTGTAAGGTATCAGGTGACTTGTATTAAAATGACCTCTCTGAATATATGTCTTGTTTTATGGTATGTATTACCTACGAGAAATTATGAAATTGTATGAAAATTGTATGAAAAAGTGTTTTCACATGGGATGCAGGTTTTACTGCTTTTTCGGAATGCGTTTGAAGTCCAGTGACTGACGGGTTTATAGCTTTATGATCAGCTTCAGAGCAAGAGTTTGCCAGACTCACTGGAATCAGCTAATTGGGTTTACAACCATGAAGGATTTCCAGCTTTGTCCTGTGCACTCCTGAACCCAGCACACAAGGACCACGTGTCACTCAACAGAGAGGGAGGGGGGAGCTGATTTGGAGTGAGAAATGATACAAGATGTTGGGTCTTTACCAAAATGGATGTTTGCGTCCATATTTGTATGTACAATTGCTACAAGACAGTCTTTCAACTGGCTCCCAGTGATCTCTTTAATCTTCATATACTCATGTGTACCCAAAATAATGCTAGCATACAAGCCCTGATGAAGGGGAAGTTGTGAGCCATAGACACACATTGCAAATATCTTTAGATCTGTTGCCAACATAAAGAAACTTTTGTTAGACTTGTTGGAATCTGTGGTGCTCTCATCCTTTTCTATCCTTTTTGTGATTGGATATGTAGAAAATAAAAGGCAGAAATACTTTTCTGGAAAAAAGACTGTCCAAGGTTATCTACTGTGCTGGTCTTGTGACCAAAAGCCTAATTAATGGGCCATGTGATCTCTATTGAAGGGGAATGTCATAGTTCAGAGACACTTCACAGGTCCCAGAAGGCTGCAGGACCATTCACAAAGCGCAGTGCGACTCTCATATACGCAGTAGGAAGCTGGCTATGAAGCCGCAAGCTGACTTCCCAAACTTAAGATGCCAGCACTGGAAACCCAGAGGCTAGTGAAGAACTGGCCCGGGTGAGGACAGCGCTGGATACCTGGACAGGTAAATGTTCTTTTATTAAAAAACTTTATTAAAACATTTTTTTAAAAATCCAGTTACAGGATTTGTAGCTGCTGACTTTTAATTTTGTCTTTTTTTTTTTCTAGCGTGAAAAACCTATTTTAAGTTTTGAATAGATATGTCCATTGTCATAAGTACAGTACATAGATGTCCCAACCGAAATGTTAGGCCTTCTTTATTGTTCCTGCTCAGTTTTGTGCTGTACTTAAAAGATCTTCCACAGCAGAGCTAGGATACTGCTAACACACAGTGCATTGGTGCTTTCCCATGGGTCCCCTGTGTGATCACCTCTGTAAACATTACACACAACCAATTTCAGAGGCATTTGGGGAATTAGCTCTGTTCTTGTCATGCCTCCTCAGTAGCTTCCCTGTGTAGATCTGCTCTGAAGGATCTTTTTATTACATCTGCTCGCCTTTCAAAGTGCTCTGTCTCATTATAAGTCTTTGATATCAGAATAACGTCCCTTAGAGAATGAGCCGATCTACTGCTGCTATTCCAGTTACTACACCATTGAGCTTGGCCACTTGTTTCAAGACTTATCTGTAACAATATAAATATTTTATTTTGCTGAACTTACAGAACATAGTGAATGAGTGACCTTGTCCAGTGGGCGGAGCCAGGCAGTTTTTTAAAAATTTGACAGCGATGGGGGAGAAGATCTCCCGCTAGTGGGGCAAGCGGAGGCCAGTGCATTCATAACGTTACATGTTACACCCTGAAGATTGATGTAACATGTTATGAAAGGTGAACTTATCCTTTAATGGCATTTAATTTTTTGGGCATATATCCAGCTTGATCATTATGTACAATAGTAGAAATCACGTTATTGAACCTGGAGGCAAAAACCTTCGCCAGTATTTTAATTTCATTTTGGAGAAGAGAAATAGGCATATATGACCTGGAGTCAGTAGGCATTTTGCCCAGCTTTAATAGCAAAACAATGGTAGCTCTCAACATAGATGGTAGTAAACCTTTTTGCAATGCGGCATTAAATACTTTTAGAAGGAAAAGGAAGTATAGTGTCTGCATATTGTTTATACACCTCTGTGGGTAAACCATTGTCCCCTGACACTTAACAGTTGGGAAAGGGACTGACGGCCTCTTGTAACTCCTCCAAGCTTAATGGGGATTCGAGCATCTTCTTATGAGCTGGAGACACAGTCAGAAGATCTATATTCTGCAAATATGTGGCACAAGAGTCCAGTGAGTAGGCCTGTTTAGACTGGTATAAATCAACAATAATAATTGAACTAGTTTGTCTAGCACTTGTTCAGGTTAATACCCCAGTTTACCAGAGGGTGTAAGAATAGTGCCAATAGTAGTTCCTTTTTGATGAAATTGAGCAATCTGCATGAATAGGTGGCCATTTTTTCACCCTTCTCATAGAATGGAAGCTTGCTGAATCTGCTCCCTTTCACCTCCTGAGGGAAGTCAAGAGGGTTAACAAATACTGAGTAGACAGCCATGCCTCTCATGTTGTATTTGATGGGTTATCAACCTAGGCTTTCTCTAGCCGGCATACCTGATGTTCCACCTGTTGCTCATGGTGTGCAGTGAACATTTTATGGATGTAATTTCTGATATAAGAATGCCCAAGAGGTATGGCTTAAATGCCTCTGATGTTTGAAGAAGGTCTTCTTGGTCTCCATGTACAGAGAAAATTACAGGGATTTTCCATGCAATACCATCATGATCTGCAAAGAGATGCGGCCAAAAGGCATTAAATTTCCAGGGTGCCTTAGTGAACATATTCAGGGTTCATACAATGTATTTAAATAAATAAAAGGCTCACCAGATTCCCTTGACTCCGTATAAATAAGTGGGACACTCTCCACAGGTAAGTATGGCCAGCAGGACATCCAGGTTTCCCTTTTTCAGCCAGGGCCTTCCACAATGCAAACGGGAACAAACAACCTCCAGCTCCT